AGGTGGGCATTCAGCTCTGCAGATTGGCACTTGTGCCCAGTCTAGACAGGTAGACCCCGCGGTGATGACTTTGGGGGGAGATTTCCCATTGCTGAGTTGACGCCTCTGTCTCTGACATTCCGACCGATCCCGTCATGGACCTACTGTGGGCTAGCTCTGGCAGGTTTAAAATGGACTCCATCACAGCCCACATCCCCGGGGAGGTGCAGGAAAGGGCAGAAGAGGTGGTTGACGGCATCGGTTTTGAATAAGCTGCTGAAGACAGTTTGGAAACAATATCCTGGGGAGGACGGAAATTAAAACCTAGTGCTGCGGGTGGTGCAAATCGATTGGACCAGAGCGAAGAAAATAATCTTATCGTCGTCAGGAGGCATTGTTCTTTGGTGAATGCCTGCTGACATTTAAAGTATAGCTTTGTGGTGAAGGCTGAAGTACCTCTGTTTAATGCAATATCTGTTTGTAAACCAAACCACACACAGCTTCTCAGAATGTAATTCTGTTGGTTTAATTGATTTGCGGGCGAAGGCTTCTAAATGATGGATTGTGGTGGAGTGCACCTTAAATCATCCAGAGCTAGACCGCAAGTATCAATACCAGATCTGCGGATCCAAAATCCAAGCTTCAAGCTTCAGCGCATGGCTTTGTACTCCTTCTGTGATAACAGTCAGTTACTGGGAGCTGTACCTGCTTCAGTGACGACAAGAATGCTGTAAACCTCCACCAGCAAGCTGAGCAAAGTCTGGTTTAACTGAACCTGAAGATCATATTGCCATGCAGACTGACAATAAAAGTGACTGATACAACTGTCATCAAGCCCAACCATGATTGGCAGATCTCTGTTCCAGGAAGGGGTCTAAGTTGAATATAGATATCCAGCAAACAGAAATACCCTTTAACCTCGAGACATTTATTGCTACCGTTCAGCGAAGCCAGGCTCCAAGACGATGATTTCCTCCTGTGCTGGCCTGGAATGTGAACAGACGTGCAATGGGATCTTGCACACGGAATTATTGAACTTTCACAACACAGAAAGGGATTGTTCTGAGAGAGGACTATCCACTCGATCTCCATCTCGTTCCTCATGCTCGATGTGCAATTTTATCTTCAAGTATTTCTCTGCTCCCTCCTCTGGTTTCTGATCTGGTCTCCCTTAGACTAACGAGCTCCTTCTGCAGAATCTCCAAAAAAACTTCTCTGACCCTCGCCCCGTGTCCTTTTAGTGACCACCTTAAATTGAACCCCTTCAGTTCTTGGCATGATGTGAAAAATAGGTATGAATTTTAAAAAAGCCTGGAAAACATTCTGATTTCTCTATTTGGCACGTCCTGAACAGTGAGCTACATAGAACTGTAGGAAATAAGAGGAAAAGGCAATCTAGCCCTTTGAGCATTCTCTACCTTTCAATATGATCATGGCTGATCATCCAGTTATCCTGTTCAAAAACAGAAGTTGCTGGAAAAACTCAGCAGGTCTGGCAGCATCTGTGAAGAAAAAATAAAAATCAGAGTTAATGTTTCGGGTCCGGTGACCCTTCTTTTTCCTTCGCAGATGCTGCCAGACCTGCTGAGCTTTTTCCAGCAACTTCTGCTTTTGTTCCTGATTTACAGCGTCCGCAGTTCTTTCGGTTCTTAAGTATCTGTTCCCTCTTTAGCTTCGTACCCTTTAGTCCCTTTAACTCTGAGAACTATATCTACTTTCTTGTTGAAAACACTCAATGTTTTGACCCGGACTGCTTTCTGTGGCAGAGAATTCCACAGACCCGCCACAGTCTGGATGAAGAAATTTCTCCTCATTTCAGTCCCAAATGGCCCACGCCATATCCTTAGACTGTGATTCCTGGTTCTAGACATACTTTCTTCAGTCAACTGAAATACCTAAATCCTGGAGCCGAACCTGGTGGTAGCCTGAAGGTTTGTTTAAAAACAGCTAAGGAAAGGTTGGGAAGTGATGTCACAGCCATGGGTGGCCTTTATTGACTTTCCCTCGTTGTCCTAAGAAGGTGTTGTTTGCTGCTTCCTTACACTGATGAAGTGGAGCCACTTGAATCAAGTCCTGTGCACCAATCAGCCCTGCTGACTATATTGAATGATAGAATCATAGGATCTCTACAGTGCGGAAATAGGCCATTTGGTCCATTTAGTCTGCACTGACCCTCTGAAGAACATTCCACCAAGACCCAGCCCCCGTAACCCCATGTTTCCCATGGCTACCCTACCTAGCTTGCACATCTCTGGAGATGTTGGGGCAATAATTTAGCGTGGTCAATCCACCCAACCTGCACACCGCTGGACTTTGGGAGGAATCCGGAGCACCTGGAGGACGCAGACAAAAGGAGAATGTGCAAACTCCACACAGACAGTCAGTCAGTCACCCGAGGCTGGAATCGAACCCGGTTTCCTGACTCAGTGGCAGTGCTAACCAGTGAGCCACCGCGCCGCCCATTGGCTCCTGTCCTGGCAAAATCTCTCATTTAAAATGGTCACAATTATGCTCAACTCCCTCCTCGGTTTTATCTGGTCCTATCTCTGTCTCAGCCCTAAACTCTTGAATTAACTTTCTTATTCTCTCTCCTTTTTCCTCCTTGCCCTCACGTCCCCCCCACCCACCGCCCACACCCCTGTTCACCCCCTCTCCTTTGGACAGTTTCCTTCCAGCCTGCATTTTAGATCAAATGTTTGGTCTCCAGTCCTATGTAGCTCTGTGTCTCCCTGAAAATCTTTGGCTTGCCTTTCCACGTTAAAGGCATAACATAAATATTAATTGCTAATGTTGCTCGGCCATTTCTGAGAACAACCATGGTAGGCCAGGAAAAGACTTATCTGTAGGCCTTCCTTCCCTACAGATTTTTATGACAGTCTGATGGATTTCATGGTTGTTGTTGCTGAGATTGAAATCAAACCGTCATGATACAATTTGAACTCCCATTCTATGGAACGCTAATTTCATCACCTAACCACAACATTGCCAGACCTGAATTACCATTCAAACTGCTTGCAGCAATGCTTGTACTGGACCCCAGCTTTCTCTGGGATCTTATGAGCTGTTATATGGGAGAAATTGACAATCCCGTTTTAAATCCTTTGATGAACGAGGACTGCATCCTGAGTTTTGACATGAGCTGGCAGACTTAATTTCCCAAGTGTTAGTGTTTTAGGAAACCCGTTGCTAGATGTAGCTCGGATTTTTGATACGGTACCTTTAGCAATCATATGGTTCAGCAAATAATTCTGTATGCTTGATAATCTCTGCACCAACTGAGTGCTTGGGAGAGATGGTTACGTAGCGGTAATGCCGGAGGATTAATAACTAGTAATAGGCTAATACGCTGAGAACATGGGTTCAAATCCCATCACTGCAGCTGGTGGAATTTAAGGTTGATCAATAAAATCTGTAATAAAAAACTAGTCGTAGCGTTGTCGATTGTCATTAATCTAGAAATCTGCCGTCCTGATCTGGTCTGGCCTACAGACTCCCCAAATCCACAGCAATATGATTAAATCTCAAGTGCCCTTTGAAAGGCCTACCAAGCTACTCCGTTCAATGCCAATTAGGAATGGGCAACAATTGCTTGGCCAGCGATACCTTCCATCTCACAAAAGAATAAAAGAAAAATAAACTCTTTGACCGGAAGAAAGCTTCAAAGTTGATGTCTTTTCTAGGTGAGGGTAAAGGCTTCAATGACATGATTGCAGTCTTGAAACTGTAGTGGTAGACATAATGACAGTGTGACTGACTAGTAATACTTACATTCAGCTCTACATTTATGTTGCTTTAAATAAATAACTTACAGTTTTTTAATCTTTCCCATAACCTAATTCTCCCCTGACTTGCAAATGTTGACTCCTCACCAGAGCACAATTCATTCTTCACCACTTTTCCCAAATTGCCTTGATTTACATTCTAATTCTATTTGTTACTCAGATAAAACTGTATGTTGGTGATGTGAAGACGCTGTTTAGTTGATACATTTCTGACGCGAGTATATATTTATACAATACAGTTAGAGTGGAAAGTAAGACTTTGGAGGCCAAGTTATATTGATAGCATTGCTTAATGCTGTTGGGGACAATGTTAGCCTTGTTAGCCTTGACAGTGTAGAGCACAGTTAATGTATTGAATCATAGGTTTTGGATTCCAGCTGTAATCTAGATATTTGAGCAAATAATTTAAGCTAACACTTGAGAGCAGGACTAAAGGAGTCCTGCACTGCCTGAGCTGCCATTATTCAGATGAACCAGTTAAAGTTCTGACTTGACTAAAGTTCTGATCTTGACTTGGAGTGACCCAACAGAGGAAGTAATAAGTATGTTTCATTGTTTGTAGTTTTGCTCTCCTTTTCTGAGGAAGGATGTTCTGGCTATGGAGGAAGTGCAACAAAGGTTTACCAGACTGATTCCTGGGATGTCAGGACTAACGTATGAAAAGAGATCAGATTATTTCGGACGAAATTCACCGTATTCGCAAAGAATGGAAGGGTCGCTCTCATAGAAACCTTTAAAATTCTCTCAGGACAGATGTTCCCATTGGCCAGGGAGTCCAGAAGCAGGAGTCAATGTCTCAGGATATGGGGTAGGCCATTTAAGACTGAGATGAGGAGAAATTTCTTCACCCAGAGAGTGGTGAGCCTGTGGAATTCCCTACCACAGAAAGGAGTTGATGTCACTTAAAGTTTTCATGAAGGAGTTCGCTATAGTTCTTAGGGCTAGAGGAATCAAAAGATATGGGGGGCATTGCAGGAACAGGGGACTGAATTGGATTAGCCATGATCATATTGGGTAGCAGAGCAGGCTCGAAGGGCTGAATGGCCTACTCTCGCCCCTGTTTCAATGTTTTTGGGTGATAAGATGACTGACTTGCACCAGAAACCTGTTTGTTTGTGTGCGTCAGTCATTGCATGTGCCGTATCTTTTTTAAATTTGACATTACGTGTGTAAAATTAGCGAATGAACTGACAATTTCCTGATTTTCATTTGTTCTCGTTTTCCTTTTCCCCTCTGCAGAAACTGAAACACAGAGAGGTGTTAGTGGGCTTGCTATTCCTGGTCTTTCCATTCATCCCTGCCAGCAACCTCTTTTTCAGAGTGGGCTTTGTGGTGGCAGAGCGGGTGTTGTACATGCCCAGGTAAAAGACGCATTGATCATGTCACGTTATGTGTAACGGTCTGGTGTTTACCTAGTGCCTCTTCTGAGTAACATGTAGAAACAGCTGTCCTGGGGTGACAGAGAGGTTAGCCTTTATCATCGCCTTTCCACATGAGGCAATGCAATGGCGGTGAAAGGTTCAGACTGATGATGTGTGAGAGGGATGGGTTTAAGGGTGGATAGCCCGGGCTATGGGGTGGAGTCTTAAGGGACTTGGTGGATCTGCTTCAGACAAACTTCAGGGGCTGATTGATAACAATTTTGAGATGTGTTTTGACCGAATGCCAGTGTGAGCGCATGGTTTCTGTGGTAAGAGACAGTGAGGCATGTGGACTTGGGTCAAAGACCAGCCGTGATCTTATTAAAAGGCAGCACAAAACTCAAAGGCTAAAATGGTCTCCATCTGTGTCTAAAGGAGGGGAGTTCCACAAGGCTGGTGTGTCTTGGCAACGCTCAAAACCTTGTGGATGCTCATGGTGAAGCAAAGGAACAGTGAGGAGCCTTGAACGGGGACCTAACCTGTCATTTGATTTGATCATAGTTGATCAGCTGCATTGCCTCTCCTTTTCTGCATATCCTCTGATACCCCTAGCTATCAATAATCAATCACTATCAGTTTAGCTTCAAAATTTCAATTCTGTCAGCACCAAAATGGGGGTTTGCCACAGCCCTGGACTGACCTTGACCACAGTTGGAAACCCTCACTGAAATCTGTATGAGGGATACAGTGACAACAAGGTGCAGGGCTGGATGAACACAGCAGGCCAAGCAGCATC